CAGAGTATCATCTGTTTCACTATGGTAATACAAGCCAAGATCTCAGGCATATTTGACAACATTAGACTGATCTATTTAGATCTGACTTTAGAACATCTACATGTCATCTTGTGATTGCATCTGATCTGTGAGGAATTTTCTATTCTTCACTGGTGTTCAATCTTGGCAATAATCGGCAAGATTAGGTGGACTGTACTCACGTTGTTGATGACAATGAAGATAAACAATGTCTTCCAGGTTCACTGTCACAGCATAGTCCCAGTAGATGCTGAGGAAAGAATATAAAAGATGAGAGTGGAATAAAACAGCAGAAATAACCAAGAGGGTACCTAGCAAAGAGAGGCATACTGTCTACATCCTAAAAGGTAATGGTAAAAACCACTTCCAGGAAAATGGACTTTTTTCATAAACCATTTTGGATTTGTATTTCATTAAACTTTTAAATAAATGTGTCTGTGCCTCATTCTAAGATTATTAGACAGGCGAGATTCAGTACAGGTAGATGAAACTCCACTTTAGTGAAAGTCCTTACCATTGCCGACTATTGACTCATTAACAGCATTTCCCCAAGATAATTGGCAATGAAGAGTTTCTTATTTACAAAAAAAAGTCCCCCCGAAGTTTCATCTGGGTGTATGCTAGCTTCTGAAGGCTCAAAAGCTAACCTTTCCTCTGACAGACTAAGTAACTACTCCTACAACTATTCTGTGCCAATCCAACCCAACATGGCCAAAGTTTACAAGGCCATGTTATATCAGTAATGCCCCATATCATTATGTCCACAGAGTACAGCCTGCAAAACATTTTGGCCAAAGCTGTTAGCATGAAGAAGTATGGTCCTTAAACAGCAGTCTATTTCAAGAAGCTGACAGAAAATAATAAAGCTGAAAAAATATCAGCCAATGATGAGAGACCAAACAAACACTTTCAATTTCCTGAGTTTGGAAAAGAAGCTACAATTTAGCAGACAGAATTAGAAGCCATTACTGCGATGTCACCATGCTAAAGGGCAGGTGTTATGCAGGTGTTAAATACCTATCCATCCAACAGGGTGTAGTGACCTGCAAATACTGGCGCACCACAAGCTTAAGAATATGAGTAAGTGTGGTGTTACCGCAGTAACGACATCTCCTCAGATCAGTTTATCAAATGACCTAATAAATTAGGATGGTTCTACCAAGTGTCAGCAATCTGACTAAAGTAAATCTAGAAAATGCTCAATTTACTAAAATTGCAAAGGATCAATTTTCTTACTTCATTTTTCCATAAAATCAGTCTCCGCAACTAATATGAAACAGAGTGCCAGCTATATCATTTGCAGATTTTCACGATTTTTTTTTACAGTTCAGTTGAGAACTGCATGTTTTCCATAAGGCTCCAGATAGTTTGTATGAATCCCCTTTCAACAAGGACAACCTTAACTAAGTTAGCTTTATGTGAGGCAGACAGGGCTGTGCCGAATATCTGAATATTCAATAGATAATCAAATATTTGAGTATTATTTTCTGAATTTGAATATTCAAATGCAAAATTTGTAAAAAGGGAGAATTTACCTTTTGTTTTAAATTAAATGAAAAAAATGCACAATTCAGGCTTGTTTCAGGCAGATTCAAATGAAAAGTGACAGAAATCTTACAATTAAAAAAGTAAATTATTCATTAAAATATTTAAACAGAAAAGAAGATTTGAACAGGGCAGGAAGTATTGTTCATGTCTTAAATCTTGCCAAATCGTGGCTGGAGATACTCCAAGACGTGTGAAGCTATTACAGTGATTATAATGTACAATTGTGTGCATTATTGAAACTGATTTTGTATATGGTTTGTTCATTAACAATCCACTGGTCGGTATGACTGAATATTTGGATATTTATTCGAATTGAAGGTCGAATATTTCAATAGTGAATTATTCAAATTAACTCAGCCCTAGAGACAGAACAGAAAAAACACCCAAACCAGCATGAAAGTCAAAACAGACAAGGGAAAACAGCGGAACAGCCAAGCCAATTCAAAACCCTCAACCAAAAAATAAAGCTGGCTTTTAAAAAAAAAGACCTTTTAATTTCAAGAACTGGAAGTGGGTTATCTCAATTTAAAAATTCATTAAAATCTATTTTGAATTCACAAGAGCAGTCAGGCAATGCCAAGTACTTAGACCTTCCCTTTTCTGCACGACCATTAGATGAGAAAATGTCCCACAAGACATTTTCTTGCACTGTGCACTGACCAGACCACAGAGTTTAATCAAAGCCTGCCCTCGGGATATCACAGCCAGTACAATTTATGAATATAAGCTGAAACTGAACAGTGTCTGAGGTTAACTCCTACATGATGTAATACTGTCTGGGTTTCCAAACAATCATAATTCTACCATTCAGACTTCTTTGCTGTTGGCCCACCATGCAAAGCAAGTCATTGTGTTAGTAATCTACACCTTATCCCATCACCCAAGGAAAGACTGCTTATACCTATAACTACAGCCCAGCTGGAAAATATGAAAGGGCAATGAATGAATGCGCATGATGTCAGAGAGAAATTAGAATGAAGCTAAACCCTGCTAATGACGTATTTTTTGCACTTATGTGTTGTTTCAGCAATGTAAAATGCTATGCAACTTACCGAATTCGTGACACATGACTAATGACAAAACAGAACAAAAACCAAAATTGAATGAACAAAAAAAATAAGCTAGCGACAGGGGGGAATGGACACAATTAAACCCACATATATAAACAATGAATTAATAATTGTTTCTTCAAAATCTGGAAGATTTCATTTTGAAATGACCTTCAGTGGATTTCCAAATTTTAACTGCAGTAAATCAATTTTTCCAGCAAGTTGCATGTAGTTTGTGACTATGTAAGAAACTGGAACAAAGACAACTGTTCCGGAGAAAAATTAATAAAATCCTGCCTTCATTGACAAGATGTTCCATGACTTATGGACAAACTTATCATACACTCATTACCCACTGATATGCCTATCAGTTTCCTTGTGAAAAATCTTGCCACAAGAGGGAGCCAAAATGCATGAAGCAAATAAAGCTCTGCATTCTGATGAGTTACTCTCTATGGTGGGTAACAGGTGGATATATAGCAGATGTACAGTTTGTTCAACCCACTACCATGGTACATGTATAATTGTAAACATGTGGCTCATCTTTCTGGTACAGACACATAAGCACGAAGCAAAAGCCATGAAAGTAGCCATTTTTTTCTCCAACAGTCCGTAATGAGTGAACCTAATACTCTTGGTTCGTGTTGTGTGATTTGCCAACTTTTCCCCTCACCTTTTCTCTGGGTCTGTCTCACTCTCTTCAGAGCCCCCTCCTCCATTCATAAGTTGGTTAGGTGTCCATTTGATGGTCAGATGTTCAGCTGTTTGATGAAGTGACAGGTAGCCTGGAATATGCTGAATATCCTCTTTCTGTAAAATGGCCAAAAGACAAATCATAAAAGACTTTTGTATTCAGAAATCAGGTGCCAACAGTTAAGAGGTACAGTACTTGTGGCAATTAAAGACAAAAAGGACAAAACAGGTGGACTGCAGCATTTAGATCCAGAATAATTAAGACAGCCTACAAAATAAAGGCTTTGCTGACATATTAATTTAAGATACATTAAAAAAGGTGACTCATTACAGTGTGGGTTTCATAGAAGAAGTCTAAGTTGAGTCCAACCACCTCAGCCCCTAAGGTATGAGTTACACTTACTGCAACAAATTATCCTTCCATTATCTTAGCAATTGTACCAAGACATTGTCCCCGATATAAACAGTGGACCACTTCTTAAGGCATATGTTTCATTCATTTACCGGCTGGACCAAGACGTTATTTTTGCCATACAGGAGAGTACTTCTTGAATTCTGATGGAGAGACTCAACATAGTCTCTAGCAGAGAGAGGTGCTCCTCTGTGATCGTCTGATGACCCCTGGTGACCATGGATGCGTTTGACCTATTAGAATAGGGACAATATAGGTATAAATATCCCTTGACTTTGAATATTCATAACTATGAATACTCATTCCCATAGTAATGAAAACTTGAAGGTTGAGCAGATAAAAACCTGCTTTCCAAGTTGTTTACAGTTTAAGTGGGTCAAGTCCAAGCAAAGACCATTTGTTTTTCCCTGGTAACCCATGCACAAAATACATCCTGGGTACCAGGCAAAATTGAAAAGTGGTTGAGAATCTTGTCGATATTACTGAAGTGCAGTACCAAACACAGCTATACCGAACATTCAGCTGTACAGTACATCGTCCTTGGCTCCCAATAATTTGTGCACAGAACCTACCGAACACTATTCAGTTGCCGTTTGTAATTCCTGAACGTCAACATGTTGGAAAGTTGTTGTTATGTTGGAAAGTGACAAGTGGACATTATTTCCCCAAGGATTAGAAGGAAAAGCCACTAGTTGTCAACGGTATTGAATAGACACTGGTTTTGCGACTCCACATGATCAGGTGCGGAAGAAAACCGCACGTACGCGCACGGTGGCATTGCACTAACAATACAATGTAGTCTAAAGAGGGCGCCGCTGATACACAAATCAACCGAGATTCGCCACAGCATGCATCAGAGATCGATCCTGAGCAGTAGTTTCACGACTTTTAGGATAAACTT